CACAAAAACACGCACACACACACACGCGCTCACGTACATACGTACGTACGTACGTCCAATCGGGATCAAAGGTTCGCTCCCGCCTAAAATGAAGCAGCATTAATCCAAATGAGATGAAATAGTCAGGGTAGTCAATTCGGAGACTCATTCTCGTGAATCAGTTTCACCACGGGGAGCGAACTTTTGTCCCCGACTGTACGTAGATGTGGAGACCGCATGAAGTCACTCATTACGCTTTTTTTTTGTCGTCATTGTAAAATAAACAAAGATGTCAGTATGGCAGAAGACTCGGCTGTTTTTTGCCATAAAGGGATAGTATAACATTTGACGGGTCACTTCCACTGGCGGAGTACCTCAGGATGACTGCTTTGGTCCCCTTATATTTCTCGCTGATACAAGTGACTTATTAATTAACTTGTTGATTGATGAAAGTTTTTTCACGAACTGAACTCATTTTCTTCAACTTGAGAATTTATTGACAGGCAGATTAATTCAGTGATGCCGACACCAATGGCCATAATTCAATAATAATTCGAAATGTATAAAGCTCAGTCCAAAATCTCATAAATATAATGTAAGGAACATCACTTATGGTTTCATCGTCTTAATGATTCTCCTAATGTCAGTGTCGGCAGTAACCATAAGTAAAAAATATCTCAACATCTTCTATAAGTAAGTAGGAAGCAGCCTTGTATCCTTCCTACCATTACTTGTCGCCAACAGGAGTGAGAGGCCGCCACGCACTCACCAGAAGCCGCACTAACAAAGTCCTCTACTGTTGCAATTCTGAGTGGTGTCGCGACTCCACCAGCGACCTCTAAACACCAATCCACATGGCTAGACAGTCTTTAGTAATGTAAAATTTTGTTATGTTGGTTGTGGTTTCAGCTAAGAGGTTTTTTTTGCCTGTGCTGGTCAATGATGTGCTTATATAACTTATTTTAAGACTCGGGGTCAGACTTCCTTCTTGAATTTTGCGGATATTGACACAACGCTGTTTTGATATGTAATGGTTTCATCTTTGACGGCATTATTATTATTATTATTATTATTATTATTATTATTATTATTATTATTATTATTATTATTATTATGCAATGGTAACAGCTGCAGCAGTAATCGTTAATAGTAGTACGACTATGCAAGAAAAGTTCAATTAAAAGTAGATTTTCATTTGTCATTGTATCTATTTACTACGCCAAAAACCACCAGATTTCTCGAGACACGAATCTTTAGCGTAAACTCGGAAAAAAAATATAACCGTACTCAAACAGCCGTAGTGCCCTAGTGAACACGTATGCGCAGACAGAATCCTATATGCTCTTTGCCGGCGAGGGGTGTAAAAATTACAGACAGGGTTGAGGGGTTAGGGAAGTGAGCAAGTTGTAAGTGAAACAAAGTATAGCCGAACCGTAGAGTATTGTGAGTTTTGCTGGTAGTTGAAATGTGTGTTAAAAGTGAGTGGAAAAAATATATAAATGTACAGAGAAGAAAGAGAGTTGAGAAGGAGGTAGAGAGAGAAGAAAAAATAGATATAAAGGCAAATGGAGAGGGAGAAAGAAAAAAGAAGTTCGAAGAAAAGAAGGAAATAGATTAGAAGGAAATGGGGGATGAAAGAGAGTAAGAGAAGAAAGAGAGGGAGAGAAAGAGAGAGGGTAAAGGGAATCATGAATTAAAAGAAAGTGTAAGAGAATAGGAAAATGGAAGAGGAAAAACTAAAAGAAAGAAAAGAGGGAGAGAGAGAAATAAATATATAAAAAGAGATAGAAAAAAAATTGAGAAGAAATTGAGAGAGAGCGATAGAGTGTATGAGTGCGTATGTGTGTTTGTTTGTTTATTCTGGGTGTCAATAATAGAAGTATGGAATGAAGAACGTCTACTCTTGAGATTAAACACAGTGAAAGAAGCTCCTTCGTGTCTCAGCTGTACATATATAATAAGAAACATGTGTATTAGTGTGTATGTTTATTTTCTTATCAGTCGTGTTTGTGTGTGTGTGTGTGTGTGTGTGTGTGTGTGTGTTCTCTAGCAACCAGAACAGATGAGCCCTTCTACTCTGCATTCGTCTAATTCCGTCTTCACAATTTAGCAATCGGCCATTGAGTCAATACTACAGAGTGTATTTAAATTAAAACCTTTTGTATCCAACGTCTCCTTCAAGAGAGAGATTTTGAATGCCTGATGTGGAAGAAGAGACATAAGCCATTTTCACCAGATAGACCGGGAGGAGGAGGGAGGAGGAGGAGAGGAGGGGAGGAGGAGGAGGAGGAGAGTTCAAAAATAGCCGCTAATGTCCTATTCAGAGGTGATGCTGGGAACTGAAGAAGAGGGTTTTGAGAGAGAGAGAGAGAGAGAGTGTGTGTGTGTGTGGCTATGGACGAGTGTGTGAGTGTGTGTGTGTGTGTGTGTGTGTGTGTGTGTAATCGGCATTATGAGCGCATAAACTTCCTCCTGCATGTAATATACTGACCTCAATCAATAAGATATTAACCTGAACTCACGGCGTAGTAGTACACACACACACACACACATACTTCCATCTCTCTCTCTCTCTCTCTCATATGTATGTTTGCAATAAGTTATGATTATGTGTTGATATGAGTAATAGAAGGAAAATATTTAAAAGGTCAAAAAAGCAGAGAGAGAGAGAGAGAGAGAGAGAGAGAGATTAAAAAAAGAGAGAAAGAAACGAGAGAAATGGAAGGAAATTCACGAGGAAGAAAGAAGAAGACATGAATAGAAAGGCAAGGAACACAAAGGCGATGATGGTAAGAGAGAGAGAGAGAGAGGTCAGAGTTCATTGAGGTAGGGGACGGTGAAGGGTGGGGAGAGGGAGTAACCAAGAAAGAAATAGCAACAAAGACGATAGAGGGGAAGGAGAGAACGAGGGGAAGAGGAAAAGGATAGTTTATGCAAATTTCACTTCATAATGAAACCCTAACCTAACCAAACCCAATTTAAGCTAGTCTAACTTAAACCTAATTAAATCTTGATCTAATCTATTCTATGTTTTGAGTGATAGTCTTACTTAAACTTACAAACGAAGCTTAACCCAGCCTATCCTCGCCTAACCGAACCTTACCTGATCTATCCGAATCTAACATCACCTTTATTTGAACTAACATAACTTTTCTTAGTTATTCTATTATCACATAATCTGAATTAAACATTTACCTCATTATGATTATTTTCCCTGGACTCTCCTTCCACCCTCATTTACGTTATATTTGTATAATTGGAATTTTTTCCTTTATTTACATACTCTTATTCATCCCAATTCGAAGACTCCCTCGCGCGCGTGTGTGTGTATGTAAGAAAATTCACTTCTTCATCCCAATGCAGTGAAATATTGATAAAAAAAAAAGAGAACGGTTTGCAAAAATGTCTATCACTGTTACCATAAAGGCTTTTAATGAGAACATGTTAGTTAAAACAAACTCTCTTGAGATAACGAAATCTTTCACAATTATGTTATCAGCATTTATCTCTTCCTTTCTTTCCTACTTTTAAGGGAAAATATTAAGTGGATGTTACAGATTTTGTTTTAATAATGCACTAAGTTCAAAAGCCTCACCGCTGTTACACGAAAAAGAAGGAAAACTTTCACAAACTCAATAATTTTGTGAGGGCGGTAACAAACATCTATTCCCTGGGCAAGAGTTTCATCTTTACGCTATACGGAAAGAGTTGATGCATTGTGCGATCAAGTGAAAAGATGAAAATATGATCAATATACATAAACTCATTCGATAAATCCACCTGATATGTTATGTAATCGCTCACTCAGCCATAATCTGGACCACATGTCACGGACAATATTGACTCTGTAGTTGAGATAACGTCATTAAACCTCAGCAACTCCCCCCCAAAAAAAAACATAATAATAATAATAAAAAAATAAAATAAATAAATAAATAATATATAACCAGTCAGTAAGTAATCAGGCGGACCAAAGTAGAATCGTATAAACCTTCTGCTCCAGTCAAAACAATAGAGCAATTTGAAATTATGATATAGGTCGTTTTGTATATATAGTCAATATACTAGAAATTTGTCTTGTATCATCCAACTCTAACCTAACCTAACCTAACCTAACCTAACCTAACCTAACCTAACCATGCGTTAATGATACGTATTAGTAACACAAATTCGTAGTTATACTAGTGTTAAACGTTCTATGATTTGTGTATGTTTTGAGTAATTGTCGTGTACGAGACGACCATCACTCATCAAATTCTGACCTAATTCTCGACAAGAGTATCAAATATTCCGGCTCTGAGTATTATACTAACCAAAGGGTGTGTGTGTGTGTGTGTGTGTGTGTGTGTGTGTGCAAATCCTGGAAGACGACCCATGACCTTCCAGATAAGGCGATCGATGGCGTCACCCAGGAGAGACACCCACAGTTATTAGCGACGGGGCAGGAAACAAGAAATTTAACATTGCAAAAAGACACTCGCTCCTACAGGCATGGCGTCGCTATATTTGGCTCTCTCCGGCCGCCCAACAGCCACGACAAGGCCACTGACTGACTCCCAGACGAGCTGGCTATAAAGAGTGAAGACGAAGGACCTGCTTGTGGATGGGACGAAACAAGGGAGGAATGGTGTTGGGAGCATGTGAATGACGGAGGGGAGAGAGAGAGAGAGAGAGAGAGAGAGAGAGAGAGAGAGAGTCATCTTTATCGCTTCATGTTCAGTTTGTTTATATTTTGGCATGTTTAATGGTTTCTCTTTTGGCGTGACAGTCTTCCTGTACGCTATGATATTCTCGGTGTGTAACCTCTTAAGTACAATAAAACCACAGATATTCCTTTCTTTCTTTCTTTCTTTCTTTCAACTGTAAGAGAATTTTAGGTAATAATCACAAACCTATGACGAGCAGCTGCCCTCACTGGATCATTACCAATCTTTCCTAACCGGAAGGTTTACCACTCTATTCTTGCCTCACCTTGCACCACTCCTTATTCCCCTGCCTACCTGCCTTCCTTCCTTCCTCACCTGTAAGTTTGAGTAGTTTAGGTGCGAATTTTTTCCAGAAGGCACATTTTTTGAGTCTAGGGCCCTTCCCAGTGGTGGCAGTGGTGGAGTTGTTGATGTCGAGGGTGAGGTACTCCCGGCCTGTGGTGGTGTGCACCGGCCAGTACGTCTTCGTCCACATACTTTTGGTTCCCTCGCTCGGGTTCCTGGGGGCACAAGTCCAAGTTACTTGTTGTTACAGAAACATTGTCGTTTAAGTCCTCCCTCGGCCGACGGTGTCCTGGGAAAAAACTGCAGTGTAATGATTATATGAACGCTGAATGTTCATTCCAGTTGCATACATTAGAGACCCGTACAGACACTCCTGGAGTCATTAGGACATGCGCAAAGGTTTATGATCACACATCCTTTATAATTGTGACACAGACACTCTTGTAGACGTGTAAGCTACAGGAAAATACACACTCAAAACCAAAAATAGTTAAACATGAACAATTAGACACACGCGCGCACACATACGCACACACCCACCCGGTTTTGGCGAAGTTGGCCCAGTAGGTCATTATCCGTCTGGAGAGTTCCTGCTCCTCCACCGTATAGCTTTTTTCAGGGTTAAGAGGCTGGCCGAAGAGGAAGCTGATCTCGTCACCGTGAAGAACACCCATCCATTTAGGCCAGAGGTGCTGTGAGGACCGATGCTTGTAGTAGTACATGTAAACATTGTTCCCGGCCGCGGCATAGTGGTACGCAAACTCATTGACGTTGCAGGTGAAGTGATAATCGCCTACCATCTTATCAATGGCGTTACGATACATGGCGCCCTCATCGGGGGCGACCCAGTCCGTGTATTCAAACATGATAGCTTGGCGGACCACTTCGTTGAAGTACGGATGGAGTTCGCGCACTGAGTTTTCGAATTGTGGCCGTGTCACAGAGATGTCATCGTCCCGGCGGAATATGTTAGAGAGAAAATATATGATAAACCAGAATCCTTCCTCTGTGTTGCTTCCCATCATGATGTTGGTCTTCTTGAAGTTTTTGTTTTTAAGGGATTTGCCGGGTAGTTCGTCGAGGAAAGAACCGTCAATGATGGGCACGAAGGGGAACTCGCAGATGCCAGAAGACGGTTCATTATGCACCAGCTTTTGGGCATCCGTTTCACGGAGACAGTTGACGACTGCTGTCATATTGTTGGGGTCATGTGGGCAACCAACAGCTTCGGCGAGTCGTAGGCCTCGCAGGATGCTCTCCTCCTTGGTGATGATTGCCCAGGGCGCGGTGGCTGAACCTGATTGCATAATGGCTTGACTGTACAGGTGACGAGAGAGCGGAGACAGTAGGTGCATGCTGACACTGACGGCGCCTGCAGACTCACCAAAGAGAGTAATATTTTCGGGATTGCCACCGAAAAGACGAATGTTGTCACGAATCCACTGGAGAGCCATAAGTTGATCGAAGAGCCCAGCATTCCCGGGCACGTCGGAGTTCTCCATATAGAGGAAACCGAGAGAAGCGACACGGTACTGCGGCGCCACCACGATGACCTCCTGCTCTGCTGCCAGCATCTTGTAATCGTATACGTCCAGTGTGGAGGTGCCGGAGTAGAATCCGCCTCCGTATATCCACACCATGACGGCAGCATTGCGTGGCCGAGGCTTCGGAACCACTACGTTGAGGTAGAGACAGTCCTCACTCATTTCGGTGTTAGGATTCCACATAGTTGAGCCATCGAAGTCCCCAAAGAACGTGTCGGGTAGTTGGACACAGGATTTAGGCAGCATAATGGTGTCCTTCACGCCATGCCATCGGTCGATGGGTCTTGGATGACGGAAGCGGAGATCTCCAACGGGTGGCTGGGCGAAAGGTATGTTGTACCAAGCGTCGACTTGGCGGCCCGTGACTGTGGTAAGCGTGACGCCTCGCACAGAGCCCTTCAGCGTCTGCACCACTAAGGGGTCGCGCGCTTCCGCCCCGCACACCGCTGTCACCATCACCCACGCCACCACCACCACGCTCCGCCACGCCATCACTCTGAAAAACAAACACCTCTTTTATATAACTTACAATAACTGTCAAGAAAAGGGTAGGATGGGCAAGTCGTTCTGTACCTTATAGCTTAGGATTACCAAGCGATACAAGGTGATAACAGGAATATTGTGATAGTGCTGATATTCATTAAACAAATAATTAAAACTGTGTTGTAGTTAGCCGAGTAATGGTCAGAGTCTCGAAAAATTCTCCGTGAAAGAAAAACCCATCTGTAATACATAAAGGCTACAGAACACATGCCCAGAAGACCTAACCCAACTTAAGGTCAGTATGAACATACCCATAAATCCACAAGACTTAACCTAACTTAAGGTCAGTATGAAGCTGCTGTAAAGAGTAAAGCCAGATATTACACTCTGTACTAAGGGGTGCCCAGCAAAAGTGTAAAGTAAACTCGCACGAGCGTGCGTATGATGAGTTTTCGGGATAATTACGAAGTCGCTGTAAAATTTCTTACCCTTTTTTGTAGTTGATAATTCAAACTGCAGCAGTATGTACAGTAAATAGTGATAATCATGTACGTAAACATAATACAACATTTCCCATACCTCACCTAACCTAATCTAGGTAACTCTTGGTTTTGTGATGATAGTAGAAGACGGTTTAAATGAAACAAAGCTAGTGTTGCCTTATATGAACTAATTTGCATTAACCCACATTAATACAAAAAAGTTATTCCAATTAGAAAAAAACTTTATTTGCGTATTTAAGATAAAATCTATTCGATTTACACCGAGTATTCCAAAGAAATTATGTAGTGGTCCTCCCCTGTCAGGCTGAATTCAATATGGATAGGGATATGCCTTGTCACAACAATTGATTACAGAATGTAAACTAAGACCTTAGGTTTGACTGCACACACATGTGTCCTGTTGTCCATAGGCTTGCGAGCTAGCTGTGACGTCATAGGCGACCGAGGATAATATCCCAGATTTATGCAAACAGACTTGAGACGTTTGATACAGCTGGAAAAATAGGGAATAGCACATAGAATAGATTTTGTGTCTCATACTGACACACCAGATGTCGTGACCGAGAACATGAAGTTACGATAGAGCTGTCATCGTTAACGGAGTAGATCAATGTTAGTAGAGACATTATTATTTATTATCTTATTTCATTTCCAAATTTCTTTTATCATAACTTGGAATACAAATCACATTATCAGGCCATACCCAATTTCATACAGGTATGACCAGAAACCCCTCGTTACTCAACAGTACCTGTCATCCTCCTCTGGGTTATACACATGATAGGTTTATAGCTAGGAAATGATGCAGTCAGAATTATAAAAAAAAATTAAATTCACCATGACAGAAAATTAACCCTGAACAAATTAAATATAAAATTCTAAATTCTTTCACCCAAATGACCCTCAAGTTGGTGCTAGTTATTGTCAAAGGTGTCCTGGGAATTTTATCCACTCAACTAAGTCTCCTTATGAATCACAACGTAAAAGAGAGAGATGATAATGGTGGTTGTATCCAGAATCACAGGATCACTCGTTGCTTCTTAGTGTGTTCTTCTTTCTCTGCGTAGGTCATATTGAAGAGTTTATTAGACAAGGTTGGGTGTTTATAATGAGTCTTCTACGTTTATATTCACGAGTGGAGAGATTATGTAATGTGAGTGTGGTGAGTTTAGCGAGGAAAATGTGGTGAGTATGGTAGGGAAAGATGTGGTGATTTGTAGCGCAGTAGGTGTGGTGAATGTGGTAGGGAAGGTGTGGCGAGAAGGATGTGGTGAGTGTGGTAAGAGAGATGTGTTGAGTGCGGCGAGGAAGATGTGGTGAGTGTGGCGAGGAAGATATGGTGAGGAAGGTGTAGCGAGCATGGTAATGGAGATGTGGTGAGGGGGGGGTGTGGTGAGTGCGGAGAGGAAGATATGGTGAGGAAGGTGTGATGAGTGTGGCGAGGGAGATATAGTGAATGTGGCAAAGAAAGGTGTAATAACCAAGGAGAGGGGAACCTGTACAGGGACGAGTCGAGGGAAGTGTGTAATAAATTTGGAATAAAGAAAAGGAAGAGACGAAAACAGCGAGAAGTGTGGGGTTGTCAGAATGAAGGAGGAACTAAGGAATAATGAAGGAGATAGGAAAAAAAAAGATTAAATGTCAACGGATATGAGGAAACAGGGAGAAAAACTGATGAGAGAGAGAGATAGAGAGAGAGAGAGAGAGAGAGAGGTGTTTTGTAGGTGTTAAAATAAAAGGAGGAAAAGAGAAAACACACAACACAGATCGAAAATGGGGGAAGGGTAGCGAAGGGGAAGAGAAAGGGAGGGGAGGAGAGGGAAGAGGAAGGGAGTAGAGGGGAGAGGGTGTGTGTGTGGGGATGCGGTCTCACTCCTCACTCCCAAGACATTCACGACCCCTCTGGGACCTGCCCGGGGAGACTTACTCTTGGAGGGGTGCCTCAAGTGGGGCGAAGGTGAGGTGAGAGAGGAGGAGGAAGGGGTGAGAGAAGAGACGAGGAAAGGGAAGAGAAAAGGAGGAGGAGGAGGAGGTTAAGAGAGAGAGCAGGAGGAGGAGATTAAGAGAGAGAGCAGGAGGAGGAGGTTAAGAGAGAGAGCAGCAGGAGGAGGAGGTTAAGAGAGAGAGCAGGAAGATGTAAGATGGTGTGAGGAGAGAGAGGTAGGAAAAGTCTTGTTTAGTGGCAGCTGCAGAGATGTATGAGGTGTGAGGGGTCGCACAGGTGACGAGGGGACACAGACACGAGCCATCATATGGAGTAGTTCGCTTGGGCTGTAGTTCATGAAATAGTCCTTTACAACGCCTTTATAAAGTGCGAGAGACGCCAATCACTGAGCAAATTATTTTCCTATTTTGTTTAAGAGTTAATGCTGTAAAGACGATAGTAATGGTTGTTTCCAAATCGGGAATAAATCCTAAGATAAAAATTATGCTTGCCATCAGGGAGCTTAAACAAGTGGGAAATTTTGTGTGTTTGGGAAGGCACATTCGCTGAGATGGTAGATGTACGGAAGAATTCATAACAAGATTAGGTCAACCAAAAACAACACTTGATTAATCTAAAATGCCTAATGAAAAGGGACATTAACTTCAATTTGAGAAAAAGGCTGATGAAAGGCTTTAGAGGCAAGGACTCTTGTATGAGTCAGAAGCATGGAAACTTTCAGCAGATACCAGAAAGAGGTTGGAGATTTTTGAAATGTGATGTTATAGGCGAATGTTAAGAATAAGTTACACTGACAGGAAAACAAATGAAGTACTGTACTAAGGTTAGCCAAAACTACAAGGGAAATGCTTGAAATTCACATATTAAAGATATTTGGTCATATAATTAGGGATGAGGGGATAAAAAAAAATATTAATGGTTAAAGTTGAAGGTAAGAAAGCCAGGGGAAGGCAGAGATTGGGACGGATGAATTAAATTAAAAAGTGGGACCCAGAGAGATACAAAATCCTTTAAGATTAGTAAAAACAGACCGAAAACGTTGGTGATTGACGATTGATTGACATACAGGGCTAAAACAACGAGAGATAAGACTCTATAATCGTTTACCCGCACACACATACACTTCAGCTTCCTATAATAATGGTTGTAACTTTTTGGTAATTTTCATTTTTTGTCTGTTTTAATTTTGTGATATGAGGAGATGTCTCTTTTTGACTGGTACAATGTGTCTACCTTTACGCTATTAATATCTCGCTGTTATTGGTGTTTTCTTCTTTCTCCTCTTTCACTTATGCTCCTCTTACCCCTCTTCTCATTCCCTCCATTCCTCTCCTCAAACTATCATATGCTTTCTCTTTCTCTTCGACTGCCTCACTCCTCTCTGGGAGAAGAGTGGGGGAATGTAAATGAGGGTAAGAGGAAAGGGAAGGTGTGGAAGTAAAGAGAGAGAGAAAGTAGGAAAAAAAGGTAGGGGAAGTGAAAATGGTGAGTGATGGTGCAAGGAGATTAAATGAAGAGGAAAAAAAAGAAAAGGTTAAGTGAACAGAGAGAAGAGGGAGATAAGGAGAGACAAGAGAAGATGAAACAAGCAGAGGAAGTTGAGGAAGGGAAAGAAGTTGGATATATGTATTTGAGTAAGAACTAAACAAAGATAATATTGTTGCATCTGTAAACAGGAGAGAAAACATCAAAAAGATGTCATCCCAAAAAGCTGAAAATTAAAGGAAAAGTTATCAAGTTAAAACGCTATTTTGAGAACCTGACGACAATGGGGTCACGATGTAAGGTTGATGAGGGTGTGTGTGTGTGTGTGTGTGTGTGTGTGGTGAGCATTATAGGTCTTTTATCTTTCCGTAGTCTTGGGACATTGTAATAAAAGCACAAATCGTGAAATTAGTTTGGTGACTCTCGGCTATTTTGAAGGAGCAATAAGAAAATTTGGTATGAAGTAAAGAAAGAGAAATCTTGTATGTGCTAGTTCATGTCTGCGTGTGTTTAAAGATATTGGAATATTATTTATAGATGTACAGTATCTAAAAAAAAAAAAAGTATCTGTCCACAGTGTGTGAAACATTATAAGACCACGGATGATAGATACTGGGACATGCATTGACCTTGGTATATCATTTAACATAAGTAATGCAACGTTTATTTATTTCGGCTTAATTAATATGATGTTTTTTTTACCAAATGTATAGGATCAGTATACCTCAGAGCCATGCATACCAACCCTCTCGGGACATCACGAGTTGCATGTAGCAATTCAGAAGTCATCCTATCCTGGCATATAATTTTTTGAGATACTGTACCAAAGCTGGGATCCTTCTTTACACACACACACACACACACACACACACACACACACACACACACACACACACACACATACACACACACACAAAGAACATGAAGGGATAAACTAGGTAGACATTTTTGTGTTTTCATTCAAGAGCGACATTTTTGTAAAGGTCATGGAAAAGTTACGTAAAATGTTCTCACAGCTACATAAGAGGCATCAAGGAGTAAGGCTTTCTCATGTACTACAAAAGCTTACATGTTCCTCAGAGCTTTACTTGGTTACGTTTATTGACTATTGTATTTATATTTCACAGAATTATTGAATAAAAAAAAAGAGAATGAATTCTTATCTTGGAATAGAAAACAATCGATTAATATTATTAGTTAGAAATGAATACAATTTGTTCTTTAACTCTGGATTTAGTTTATATGATCCGTCGTATCATGTGGCATTTGTTGAATTATTAATATTATGACATCAGCCACTACAAGCAAGACTATATTTAGCAAAAAAAATCCGTGTGTCTACCAGTGCCGAAAATGGTTACGCAATATGTCGTAAATTTTATATGGCCGAGGTAGCATAGGACAAAGAATTAAAACAAAAATAGATAATAAACATTAGGAGAATTTAAATGCGTAAGAGAGAGAAAGAGATCGGTAGATAAAAACATACACGCAGGAGAGAGAGAGAGAGAGAGAGAGAGAGAGAGAGAGAGAGAGAGAGAGAGTAGGAGGAGAAAGAGGATGAATGAACAGTGTGTGAGCGAGTGAGTGAGAGTCAGTCCTGGCTGGCTGAGCGGGTGGTGGAGGTGTGTAGTACATTATTGAGGGCCACAAATACCAAGGCCGCCGCCACGATATCCTTATGGCATTCACAGAGTGCCATTACTACTTCCTCTGTTATGTTTAGTGTAGACGAGGTGCCAGGGTGCAAGGGGGAAGAGGAAGGGTAGGAGAAAGGACGCTGTGGGCTATGAGGAAGAGGAGGATGAGGGGTTGAAGGGAGAAGGGAGAATAAGGGGGAGATAAGGATGTACAATGGGGGGAAAGAGAAATAGGAAGGAGGAGGATGAGAAGGTATTAAGAGAATGACAAGGGGGTAGGAGATGGACAGAGGAAGAAAAGAAAAAACAAGGTGAAGAAGAGGGGAAATAGGAGGGAGAGAAGAAAGGAGATATAGATGAAGAGAAATAGATATAGTCTTTGTTAATTTCTTATCTTTCGTAACAGTTCAAAAGGGTTAATCAAACAGGCGGTAATATCAGTCGTGAAGAGAATAAAAAAGTAAATATATCCTGATCAAATAAACAACATAAAAGCGAGAGATGAAGTTTCATTAACGCATTGTGTAAATTAAATATGTTTCTTTATTACGAGTTAATTAGTTCGTTTCTCAATGTTTATATTTCAATGAAGAATTAGAAATGTGGTGCTTACATTTTTAAGACAGTTTTTGTTGGGAGGCGACGTAAGATGTCTACAAACTTAACATTTTTAATTAATGAACTGTCCGGGAAACTTCACGTACGGCTCAGGTCCACACTGTAGATGGCAGTGGCAGCATAAGTTCTCAGTCACCCCAGCGGCTGTGCTGGCGTTTCCCGACGGAGTGATAGGCTTAAAGAACGCTACGCCAGAGGAGCGTACGTACAGTCACAGACAAAAGTTCGCTCCCCTAGCTGTCGTCTGGTGCGGTTGTGCTGTTTTATCTCATTTGAGGTTGAAGCTGCTTCATTTTGGGAGGGAACGAACTTTTACACTCTGTAACTCCGACTGTACGTCCGCTTTTCTTAATGCTCATGGTGGCATGTTCATGGTTTAGGTTCACCGGTGTTAAGTTTATAGGGATTTACTAGTTTAATTTTAGCTTATAGAATGAACGTATTGTGCGGGCAAATATGATACATACAGTACATACATACATACTGTATATAATGCACATATTCTTACATTTACACACACAAAAGCGCACATACACAAAAACACACATCCGGTCAGTAGGATAGACTCTGTGTGTGTGTGTGTGTGTGGTTGCTAGCCGTGGCCACCACTTGAGACAGCACAAGACAAGAGGGAGTGGTGGGAGAGATCACTCTTGTAACACTCTCGAGGAGGAGTGTTGGGCCTGGTGCTCTCCTGGGAGGGGCGAGAGGGTGAAGGAAGAGGTTGCTGACGGGAGAGGGAGCGGTGGAAAAGGACCTATACTGAGGGGAAAGTGAATGAGGGACGGACAGAGGGTGAGTGTTCTGAGGGGAGATAGAGTGTGAGCCTGTTAGTGATGGGAGAGAGAGGAAGACATCTTGACCTCTAGTAAGAGTTAGTTAAGGGATGTGTGTTAGTGAGGAGGTACAAGTGTGTACTAGCACTAAAATTATCATCTATGTAGGCAGAGGGTGAGCTGACGTTCGTCTGGCGTAGATTCCGTAAACTTGTTATTGCTGGGTAAAGGGGAACACCCGGCCATGTTTGCTAGTGGTGGAGTGATCCCCTACGGTATGTGCCTTAGGCTCAGAGGTGGAGGGGTGGTTGAAGGATTTCTTGAGAAGTAGGAGAGCTTTGAACCCGGCGGAGTGTCGGAAAGGAAAAAAATACACGAAAAAATGTTACGTAAGGAGTTGAGGAGGAAGGGAGAGCGATGAAGAGAGTATAATTCTCTTTCCCCGTTCTAGCACGTTCAGCAGTCATAACACCAAGGGGAGTTTATTAGTTCTGGTGACCGATGTTTGGCTTGTGAGGGTGTACAAGTCTGCCTGTTATGGTCATCATCTACGTCACCACTTCTCAGAATCGTCCACTTCACCCTCCCTTATAACGTGAATCCTATGGTGTACCTTAAGTCCCCTATACCATCCTTACAGCAGCATCTAGGATATATTCTTTGGTTCCTATCTGCTTCGTACTTTACGTGAGATCATCTGTAATAAGAGTTATGTGACGTATGATATAATAGTTTGTGTTTTAATTACCCAGTAATTTGTACCTGATTTTTGCGAAGTGAGACCAAGTTACCCACGGTCTGCTGGATAACTCCTAGCATTTGAAATAAAAAGATCTTGGGTCGAATTCCTGCAAAGAAATGACTACGGAGAGTTTCCTTGTACTTACATTACTATGAAAGGTGTCGGTTTAGACAGGCACTCGAGAAGTATACTAGAGGGACATAAAATATGTAATTTCAGTGGCAGTACATGGTTACTATACACATTTTTTAGTCTTGTGTAGGAGATAAGGAAGTTCATTAGTCAAATGGACAAACTGACTACTTCAAGCCGATGCTACGGGGATCTTCGACCTACGAAAATGACGTTTGTATATATATTTACACGAAAATCACGTCAATACATGCCCTTATTAGCCTCACACACACACACACACACATTTGATAATAATAATAATAATAATAATAATAATAATAATAATAATAATAATAATATTAATAATAATAATAATAATAATAATACTAATAATGGTTGCACCTCGTGTAACGAGGATGGCCGACCCAAGGGCCACCTAGGCGTGAATTTGTTTAAGGTGTAGAAGATGTCGCCAACACAACAACCACACCCTAAGTTAACGAGTTGCATGACCCGGTGTTAAGGAATAGTCCGAGAAGACCGGACAACTCGCCAATTGCCCATAGTTTCACCCTGCCCGGGGATCGAACCCGGGTCCGCTCGTTTGCGAGGCGAGCGTGCTGACCATTACACACACACACACACACTACTACTACTACTATGCTTCACTCGGAATCGAGTATGAAGATCATCCAGCTATGATACAATGATATGAATTATTAAGGATTTCACTTTCGTTGGTGAGCTTAGAGGTGACTCGAGAGGCCGACGCGAGATCGAAAGGGCCGTCCACAGATATTGCGCGTGTGGAGGGCTACATCTAGTGCGGGAGGGGTGGCGGCAGCGTCTTTCGGGCGCTGGTGCTTGTCACCCGTTACGCTACACATCACCCGTAACGCTACACAAATCACCCGTTACGCTACACAAAACACCCGTTACGCTACATAAATCACCCGTAACGCTACACAAATCACCCGTTACGCTACACAAATCACCCGTAACACTACACAAATCCTCCGTTACGCTACACAAATCACCCGTTACGCTACACAAATCACCCGTTACGCTACACAAATCACCCGTAACACTACACAAATCCTCCGTTACGCTACACAAATCACCCGTTACGCTACACAAATCACCCGTTACGCTCCATAGATAACAAACAGGCTACATAACTTCTGTGTTATATATCAGTCCACAAACTACATAAATTATGGTCGGGCTGTATACGGAGCGCCTACGTCACATAAATCCCTCCCACGTTATAAAACCACTCCCCTCCCACGTTATGTAACCCACTCCCACGTTATGTAACCCACTCCCACGTTATGTAACCCACTCCCCGCCTCACTCCCCGTTATGCCAACCCCTCCCACGTTATGTAACCCACTCTCACGCCGTTACCCACTCCCACGTTATGTAACCCACCACGTTATACTCACCACGTTATGTAACCCACTCCCACGTTATGTAACCCACTCTCACGCCGTTACCCACTCCCACGTTATGTAACCCACTCCCACGTTATGTAACCCACTCCCACGTTATGTAACCCACTCCCACGTTATGTAACCCACTCTCACGCCGTTACCCACTCCCACGTTATGTAACCTGCTCCCACGCTATGTAACCCACTCCCACGCTATGTAACTCACTCCCATGTTATGTAACCTACCCCCACGTTATGTAACCCACTCTTACGCTTTTGCTTACGTTATATAACCTACTCCCACGTTATGTAACCCAGTCCTACGCTGTGTGTTTTGTGTGTGTGTGTGTGTGTGTGTGTGTGTGTGTGTGTGTGTGTGTAGCATGTCTACAACTCACATGAGTTAATGTACAGTATATCCGCGGACATGTTGAATATTCACCCCCACACGTCGTGTGTGTGTGTGTGTGTGTGTGTGTGTGTGTGTGTGTGTGTGTGTGTGAGTATATGTGTGTGTGTGTGTGTGTGTGTCTACCTAGACTGCATCGTAACTTGACAATCAAGGCCCTGGGCTTATTATCATAAATTCTCGGCTTCTCCCAGAGCTGTGATTTTAGGATTACGAAGCCTGAGGTGGTGTGGGTGACCCCAGGTGGTAAGTCATGCTGGGCAACCTTCCTTCACGGTCACTAACACCTGGCTGCACCCACCTTAGGACACCACCTGAATTATCATTACTCGGGATACCGCATTCCAGCAGCCGTAAGACACCACTTGAACCAACCGAACATAAGACACCGTGTTATAACTTATTTAGGACACCCGCAGAACCATCAGGCTACGACACTCACTATGCACTTACGTACAGAACCAAAAGATACATTATACTCGTACGTAGGCAAGAGACGCGTCAAGGGGTTAAAAATGCCACGTTTTATGTTTCTCATACGTAAACCAGGAGATAAATAGGTAGAAAAATAGACAGGCAGATATATATATATATATATATATATATATATATATCAGGGAGAAAGTGCTTGCAGCGTGAAAGGCACAAATGGGAGAGAGAGAGACGACAATCTATGACTCATTGAGTAACTAGATTATAAGGGGGGGGAGTATGACCCATACTGTAGGATGCGTCCACTGTGTTGCAGGCCCCACCCTCTGTGTTGTAGGCCACGTCTCCTGTGTTGCAGATTATGCCTTCTGTGTTGCAGGCCATTTCCTCTGTGTTGCCGCCCACCCCCTCTATTGTAGGACACGCTCACTCTTTTGTAGTCCACGAACACTGTGTTTCAAGCCACACTGTGTTGCAGGCCAAAACAAATGTGTTGCAAGCTACATCCAATGTTTTGCAGGTTAAGCTGAATGTGTTATAGGACACCGTCCACTGTGTGCCACTGTGTTACAGGCCACACCTACCGTGTTCAGGCCAAAAATTGTAATGATCTAACCTTAAAAATCTTATTTTTGGGGGTTATATAAAATCGATTAATTTCTTTTATTTAATTTACATATCTATGCTCAAATTCAAAGACAGGAAAAAAATTCACATTAGTTCCAGTTCGAATCTTTACATGAGATTCAATATTATCAAACTGAACACAACAAGAGGTCCTGGTCCAGTCTTAAAGATTTAGGCTCAAGGGTCTAAATTCAGGCTCAGACTCAGAGGTGATCATGACTGATTAATTCTACTTTCAAATTCAAAGTAGAAATTCATGATATACGTTACTGTTTAAGAAATACCAATTAAAGATCTAGAGCTCAGTGTCTAAGATATGGTGTTAATGGTAGAGTAATCCTACTTTTGTTTTGAGCCAGAAAATATTTCTTAAGTACAAAAATTTTTAATGGGAGAAATGAAAAAAATAAGTTGAAAATTAAAATGTCTAAATCAAAACTATTTAATTGTACAAAAATATCCACATTTGAAAGTTAACTCTAATATTAAAAATGCGTAACAGCAAAATTATAATTCGTAAAAGAAGAAATGTTCAAGTTCAAAGTAATCAATTAAAGTTCAAAAAAGCATTAACTTAAAACAATAATTTGGAATAATCTAAAAGAAATGTCTCCGTTATTAAAATGTAATTAAAAAAAACTAAATAAGAAAATACAAAGAAACGACTAATTGAATGTTAAAAGAAAAGCGAAACTCAGAATAGTTAATGGCACAGTCATTTAGATAGGAATAACTGCACTCAGGGTACAGTTGGGCAATAGCGCTGGACGACCATTTCCTGGTGACCATCAATATCCTTCCTGCCAGCGCTTTAACTGTCTGCCGCCACTGTAGTAATTGCCCACCCTGATAATTCTCTTGTCCCCGCTATAATTAACCACCCCGATAATTCCCTTATCCTTGCTATAATTGCCCACGCCGATAGTTCCCTGCCCCTTCTATAATTGGCTATCATCCTGATCCTCATGAGAGAGAGAGAGAGAGAGAGAGAGAGAGAGAGAGAGAGAGAGAGAGAGAGACCCGGTTGATATGCTGCTGATAAAAGTCTTAAGAGAATAAGTTTAAAGAACGATTCTAAGATTTTATTCAAGACGGCCATCAGGGAACCATATCACACCGTAACACACAGTAACACACCGTAACACTCAGTAACACTCAGTAACACTCAATAACACACTAATACACACTAACACGACCTAACAAAGTAACACACAGTAACACTCTTCATTAAAATTCTACACTAGGTAAACATTAGCTTATCTTATTTACATTACCTACACTGGTTAATTTTCCTCCACGATACGAGAATATGATGTATCTCGACGAAAAGAATAAAATGAATTCATCTCAAAATCGTGATATCATGTCGTTAGAGACGTGGCGAGTAACGTGCCCGCCTCCACACCCCACCAATCACCCCCTCCCCCCCCCCCCCCCCCCATGGCACCGGGATCAGATGATAGAGAGCCAGCAAAGGAAGACTCAGAGATCCACTATAATGACCAGGCAAGATGCGCCGACCTGGGAAAACCAATACTAGGAGAGCAGCTCGACAGATTTGTGCTGCTTTTCTGGAGTTTGCCGATGGGGTGAAGGGAACACAACGATGTAGAAAGCAGCGAGGAGTAAGAAAAGGGGGACAATAGGTAGAAGAAAGCAAAAAGGAAGAAAAGAGATAGAAAGGGAAGTGAAGGAAGGAAGGGGTGAGGAGGATTAAGGAGGCGAAGAGGAATAAGTAGGTGAAGAGGAAGGATGAGGAGAGGAAGTAGATATAGCAGAGGAGGAATAATGATGACAGGAGGGAGAAGATGGCGAAGAAGAAGAATATGGGGAAGAAAAGAAGGAGAGAAAGAAGGAGGATGGGGGAGAGTACACGCTGGACAAGAGGGAGTTGAGGCACAGTGAAGACTATCATCAACAGCGTTTCAGTAGTGTAGTTTAAGTGGGTGGCGGAGAAGACAGCCTTAATAACATCATCTAATAACCAAAACAATACAGCAACCACGACAACCACGACGACGAGGAGGCTTTGCAAGAAACACTCCTGGTTAGTTGGTTTAACAAGATATCACGTAACTCAGTATAGCAAAATCTAGTCTAAATGGTCTAAATTTATCTTAAAAGTGAATCCTCTTTTTCGTAACTTAACCTTATGTAACTTAACACAATGTAGCCT